CACCATTCTGAAAGAAGGAAAGAAATATAAAACCAGAAGAAGGAAGTAGACACCATGAACATGGAATCTGGATCTTTGGAATTTGAGATTCTTAGCTTCCGAATAATTAAAAGACCGAAGAAGAAGGCAAAGGAGAGCTCAAGCAACCTACCTGATAACTCTTGATCCAGCTTCCCCAGGTTTAGTATCAGTAGTATTAAAGCAGTTTTCCAAGTGGACTCAGCAAAATCAAAAGCAAAGCTCCTAACCCTAAGTCGACCCAAAAGGTGAACATTTCTCTTAGCTGCCTTAAACTATAAGTAAGTCTGTTAACAGACTAAGTGCAGTTCTTGTTTAAGTCCTTTTCTGTTTTTTGTTTTTTTTTTAATTGCCTACAGCACCCGGTCTTCCTAGGAGGTCTCCCATCCAAGTACTAATTAGGCCTACCCTGCTTAGCTTCCAAGATAAGACGAGATCGGGTGTGTTCAGGGTGGCATGGCCGCAGACTGTCCTTTTCTGTTTGGATAGGTAAAACTGGAAGGCAGTGGCTTCTTGAGGGCAGAAGGTATGCAGGATGCCCTGGAAGTGGTAGAGAACTTAGAAGGAGGGAAGAAGGGAAACTTAGAGGCAGCTGAGAAGACAAACATGGATTTTTACAATTTTCTCCAGATCCTGATTGTCTTTAGTCACAGACAAATGATAGCTCTATTCCAAATATTTACTTCTGTAGGACAGGCGCTAACCAGGAATACATCTTGAGTCCTGGGGAGATGGAAGCTACTACTACAACTTTGTAATTTAGGATTTGTATCCAGTTTACTTCCAAAATACCTAAGCACTCCAAGATCAGAAATGGGTAGAGGACTCAAGGGCGTCCAAATTAAACAGATGACTTCACTTGGACTACAGTTTAAGTCTATCTTAAACATATAATTCCTGTTAAAATGCCATTTGAGTTAACCTTTTATACATTGTGAGAATATTTAAGCCTATCAGTTACTTGTCCCTTAGTGTGAACAGATAATTATTGCTTTTCTCCTTAATACTATGCTGAGATCAGATACTAAGGAAATAAGAATGTTGGTAGAAGAGGAGAGGTAATTTTATAATTTACATCTTTTTTGCAGGATTATGCCAAACATTGGTTAACTTTGGGTGACATTTAAGAATTGAGTCTGGTTTGCAGAGAAGGCAGCATTTTATGAAAATAATATTTCTTTAGGCAACTTAAAATTGCTAAGTCCAAAAGTATTCTTTCAAAGATTTAGTTTAATTATCTATTGATTTTTTACAAAGTAGTTGCAGGAACAGTGTAGATAATACAGCATCCTGTTATATATAGTTCATTTACACTAGTTTTTTTTTTAAATTAATAGTATTACTTTGACTATTTTTTGTCAAGTACTGAGATACATGCATAGTAAGATATAGTATATCAGCTGCTTGTGAAAAATAACTTTGCTTTTGGAGCAGAGAAATAAGACATTGGTAGTAATTAGTAGATATGAGGCTCTTGAATGTTTTGTGCTAAAGTTGGTAGACATTTGGCATCTAAATAGTGTGTTTAAGAGCTTGACAGGGTTCTTAGTTTCAATAATAAAAGTGGTTAGGGCTAAGGAAAGAGGGCAAGTTAGAGGAAAGAGAAAGAAAGAAGAGATCAGTTAATAGAGAATGTAGAGAAAAAAAGGATCAAGGACAAGAATTCAATTAATGTTTGTGAGAACAAAGCCTTTCCTCTGAGGAAGAAGAAATAAGGTGCTCTAGTTCCTTCTCTATTTTAGGGACACTTATTCAATTTGATTTGTTACATATGACCTCTATAAGCAAAATCAAAGAATTTTAGAATGACACTGACTTTTTTCTACAGTTAGTCACCTAGTGATGTTTCTAGTTTCATATAGAAACTGGCATGACTGAGGGACATACTTCAAAAGAGCTGATACTTTATACTATAAATTTAATTTTAATGAATGCTGGTGAGAACATTATTGATTATTGTCTAATTGTCAGTTTTCTTTTTTATAAATGTAGTGTGTGCTGTAAGTATAATGCTTTATTTAATACATATTTTTATGGAATCTAATAATTTTGAAGGAATTTAATTAACGATCATCGGGTTTTAATGGATGATCAAGAGAAGGTGTTGGTTTTCATTTCACCAACAGTTTTCTAGGGGTTTATTAGTATCATTATACTTATGGAATCATTTCAGAATTTGTGTACCGTAGCTATATACTTCTGTCCTCTGGCAGGAGATAAAGGTGTCAGCTCCCACAGACTCTTGTCTCTGGTGAGCAGAGGTGGGGGAAGTCGCTGTGCTCCCAGACTTTGAGAGATTTGCAGTTACACTTTATGCTACTGAAAGTAGGCCTATGGCTGTATTTGGCACACATGTTTGATTACTAGTGCTTACTCTGGAAAATAATCACTTTCCTTCTTCCTAAAGAAAATAAACTAAATCCTTGTAAAATTTACTACTTAAAATATCTTCAAACTAATTCAGTTGTACTTGGCACTTGTAGGGACAGGGCAGACATACAATACAAAATAAAATTGACAGTCCCCGACCTTCTGGAGTGTATACTTTTAATAGATGCTGAATATTATGCTTGGAAATATAGGCAAATTTAGAAACGTGTGGAAAGAACCAGATAAGCAAGGGTTAGAACATGCCGAGTCCCAAAAAAAGTCTCTGAGACAGAATGATCATCAGAAAGCCATTAGAAAAACCAGGAGGGTGAGGTATCAAAGACAACAACAGTGCTCATTTTTATAGTTAGGACTTTGCATATTTGTATGTGATTGCATTTTCTTCATGGAAACTTTCACATGTCATTAATAATTTAAGGTTCTTTCTCTTAAGATTACAAAGTAATTTCATTATCCTTATATTGTATATATTAGAAAGGAGGGCACATGTAACATTTGTAAATTTTCCTTTAAACTTCTTTCTGATAGACTATTATATAATTGGCTTAGTTTTAGATTAAGAAAATAAGATTGCACAATGATTAGATTTTTTTTTTATAGAATTTTGTTTAAATCAGAAATTACTGCTTTTAAAGCACTTTGACCAAAAAGATGGTTCTCTTCTTTAATTTTTATTTTCTATTGTTTTTTTAGTTACACTTGACATTCAATATTATTTTATATTAGTTTCATTTGTTCAGCATAATAATTAGACATTTATGTGATTTAAGAAGTAATGCCCCGATTAATCTAGTACCTACCTGGCACCATACATAGTTATTACAATATTATTGACTATATTCCCTATGCTGTGGTTTACATCCCCTTGACTATTTTCGAACTACCGATCGTCCTTTTTAATCACTTCACCTTTTTCACCCAGCTCCTTCTACACCCCCCACCCCCCGCCCCCAATCTGGCAACCCTCAGTTTGTTCTTTGTAGATATAAGCCTGTTTCTGTTTTGTTTGTTCATTTATATTTTCTTTAGATTCCACGTATAAGTGAAATCATATGGTATTTGTCTTTCTCTGATTTATTTCACTTAGCATAATACCCTTTAGGTCCATCCATGTTGTTGCAAATGATAAGATTGCATTCTTTTTTATGGCTGAGTAATATTCTATTATATGTATGTATATATGTGTGCGTGTGCGTTTTTGTGTATCACGTCTTTTTCCAGTTATCTATTCATGGGCACTTAGGTTGTTTCCATATTTTGGCTACTGTAAATAATGCTGCAGTGAACATAGGGTCACATGTATCTTTTCGAATTAGTGTTTTGGATTTCTTTGGGTAAATACCCAGAGGTGAAATTGCTGGGTCATAAGTTAGTTCTATTTTGAATTTTTTGAGGAACCTCCAGAGTGTTTTCTGTGGTGACTGCACCAATTTGTAATCCCACCAACAATATAGGAGGATTCCCTTTTCTTCATATCCTTGTCCACACTCGTTTTTAGATTTATTGATAGCCGTTCTGACAGGTGTGATATCTCACTGTGGTTTTAATTTACATTTCTCTGATGATTAATAACATTGAGCATCTTTTCATATGTCTGTTGGCCATCTGTATGTCCTCTTTGGAGAAATGTTTATTTAGGTTCTTTGCCCATTTTTTAATTGGATTGTTTGTTTTTTGGTGTTAAGTTGTGTAAATTCTTTATAAATTTTTGATATTAACTCCTTATTGGATGTATCATTGTGAATATCTTCTTCCAGTCAGCAGGTTGTCTTTTTGTTTTGTTGATGGTTTCCTTTGCTGTGCAAAAATCTTTTTAGTTTGATGCAGTCTCATTTGTTTATTTTTTCTTTTGTTTCCTTTGCCTGAGGAGATACGTCAGCAAAAACATTACTAAGAGCAATGGCAGGGTTTTTAGGAGTTTTATGGTTTGGGTCTTACATTTAAGTCTTTAATACATTTCAAGTTTGTTCTTGTGTATGGTGTAAGAAGGTGGTCATTTCATTTTTTTTTTCGTGTATCTGTCTAGTTTTCCCACTACCATTTATTGAATAGACTGTCTTTCCCCTATTGTGTATTCTTGCCTCCTTTGTCATAGGTTAATTG